GAGGGGAGGGGGGGGGCTGACACAGGACGGTGAGGAGGAGGAGGGGGAGAAAGAGGGGGAGGAGGAGGGGGAGGAGAGAGGAGGAGAGGAGGAGCAGGAGAGGAGAGAGGAGGAGGAGGACCCCCTCGTGCGCCCAGGGGCGGCAGGGCCCCTTCTGCGCATCCACTGCTCCTGCCTGGCCCCCTGCGCTGGCGGTGTCTGCCTCTTGCCGCCTGCCCGTGGGGCCTCTGCGGAGCTGGGGGGGGCGGCCGCGGCCGCTGGTGCTCGGGTCCTGCCGCCCTTTAGGTTCACCCAGGGAGGCCCTTCCACCCGCGAGTTTGGGCGGGGCCGCTTGCCAGAACACTCTGAGGACACTCCTCCTGCCCCCTCCCCCTCCTCATCCGGTCTCCTCCCCCTCCTCCTCCTCCCCTCCTCCCTCCTCCTCCTCCTCCTCCTCCTCCTCCTCCTCCTCCCTCCTCCTCCTCCTCCTCCTCTCCTGCCTCCTCCTCCTCCTCCTCCTCCTCCTCCTCCTCCTCCTCCTCCTCCTCACCTTCCTCCTCCTTCCTCCTCCTCCTCCTCCTCCTCCTCCCCTCCTCCCCCTCCTCCTCCCTCCTCCTCACCTGATCTCGCCCCCACTTTGCCGCACGCTGCGCGAGCACCTGGCAGCGTGTTCCGCAGAGCAGGCACTGGGTCGACGGGGGGCCGAGTGCGGGAAAGTTTGGAAGTCTTCGGTTTTACAGGGGGCCGGGCCCCTGGTCGCAGCCTTCTCATGGCGCGTGTCCAGGGGCCCTCGAGCCTCACACGACGGCGCAAGCCACATCCCGCACGGACTGGTCCTGGCCCTGCGCGGGCAGTGCACCTGGTGGCGCACACCCGGGAGAGGCAGATGGAAGACGGCAGTGGAAGACGGTGATCACAGCATCGGCGTCGAGAGGCAGCAGTGAGCATGGGGTAGCGTCCCAAGAGACAGCGAACCATCGGTCAGTCTACCCGTCGGTCAGTCTACGGACGGCGTCGGGGCGCAGGGTCTGACAAAGACGTCGTCGTCGTGGCACGTCGGGCCCCCAGCGGTGGTTGAAGGATTCGGGCCAGGACAGGCGTCGGTAATGGGCGGTCGTCCGCTTCCGTGGCGAGGCGTCGAAAGAAGGCGTGCGTAACCATCACCCGTGGCGCCGTAGTCGCCGCCGGGGGTGTCGTCAAAGCAGGGGGCGGGCGCTTGGAAACCGCCTGCCAGAGTGAGTCGTGTGGTCCTGGGCAGGGCACGCGGCAGGTAGCCAGGCAGCGCAGGGTTCTTCTTCCGCAGCCCCCAAGGTCCGAGGGCGGGTCGGAGGTCGGTGACCGACGTGGGGTGAGTCGGGCATGCGGCGAGCGGGACGGCCTGGTGAGAGCGGCGGCCGTCGGGGGCCGTGAGGCAGGCTTGGCGCACGGCGGGACGGCCTGGTGGCCCCCCCCTCCTCCTCCTCCTCCTCTTCCTCCTCCTCCTCCTCCTCCTCCTTCTCCTCCTTCTCCTCCTCCTCCTCCTCCTCCTCCTACTCCTACGTCTCCTCCTCCTCCTGCTCGTCCGCCTCCCCCGCGTCCCAGACGGAGGCCAGTGGTCCAGCCTGCGCCGCGCGGCTGCGCCGGGCGGCACGCCGCTCGGAGGGGCGCCGGGGGGCGGCGGGGGCAGGAGCGAGGCCCGGTGTGCGAGCTTCGCCGCTGCCACGACGGTAGCGCGCTGCAGGGAGAGGCAGCGCGCGGGGGAGAGCGGCCAGCTCTCCCCCGCGCGGCCAGCTCTCGTGGCCAGCTCTCGGGGCCCGGTGGCCGGCCAGGCGAGCCCACGAGGAAGGGGCCCCCGAGCGGCGCGGCCAGGGGGAAGACGAGGTCGCCACCGCCATGCAGGACGATGCGCGGGGGATGGCGTGCGTGGCGGCGCGTGGTCTGGCTGTCGCGTGGGCCTGGTGGCCCGCCTGGGGGGCTGCCCGTGGTGCACGTCGGCCTTTCGGCGGGCGGTTCGCTGGGGACCGCGGTGGGGTGGCGTCGGCAGGCGGCCGCCTTGCCGTCACGCTTGCGCGTCGGTCGGTCGACGTTCGCTGGGCGGCCGTCGGCGGCGGGCGTCGGCGCGCTGTCGTCAGACGGTCGCCGGACGGGCGCAGTCGGTCGTCGGACGTCCGTTTGCCCGTCGGCGGCAGGACGTCGGAGAAGTTATCCCTGCCAGGGGGCAAGCTGTCAAGCTGGGCGTGCGCAGGTGGGCAGCGTTGCCGCTGGTCAGCTGGACCACCCAGTGCTGACTGCGTTCCCCCGTTCGGCCGACGACGGCGCCGTGGCAGCCGTTGCCGCGGCTGCGCTCCCGTTCGGCAGGCAACCGCCATCTCGGTGTCTTCGCGGATAGATGGGGGCACGGGGGGGGAACGCGGCCGGCGTCGGCGGCCATTGCGTCGGCCCCCTCGGCAGAGGCGTCGGCCTGGGTGGTCCTTGATGGCCCCGTCGAAGTGGGCGACGGCGCTGGCGCTGTCGCTTTTGCGGCCGAGCGGCGGCGTACAGAGGCACGCCGCGGCAAGGCGGGGCGCCGGCGTGTCCTCCTCTGCGCGCGGCGCGCTGTGTACACAAGCGGCGAGCCTGCTGGCTGCCGTGGGTGCCCTTGCGCGACGTTCCGCGCGTCGCGGCGCGAACCACGGGAGTGGCGCTCGCAGCGGCGCCCAGGTGGCCAGCTGGAGGGTCGCCATGCGGATGATGTGGAGATGGCCCACTTCTGGGAAACCGCGGTGACGCCGCTCGTCGGAAGTCCTCTCGGGGGTGCTGGGCATCTTTCTTCTCGGGGGTGCTCGGCGGGCAAGCTTATTATGGGTCAGCGTGCGAGCTCGCTTGGGTGGGGCCTGGAGGTTGCATGGCACTTGCGACGTGTGACCGGCAAAGTGGAGGCGGTCTTTGGTGGCTGCGATTCGTTTGTTGGTGTGTCGTCTGGCGGTCGGCGGACGGTCGTCGGACGTCGTGGGGTCCGTTGGTATGCAGCAGATGTTCGATCAAGCGAGTGGAGGGGGCTCGCGAGGGCCTGGTGGCCCCCGTGGCCAGTGCTGCAACTTGGGCCTGGAGGCCTCCGTGGCTGGTGCCCCTGAGAGTCGGCCGACGCTAAGACGGGGGATCGCTACGGACTACGTCTTGGGTGACATCGCGGGGACCGGTTGGAGTGTTGGCCCAGCAGCACTGAGCGGTTCCAGCGTGAACCGTCGGACGTTTGGTGGGGGTTCGCAGTGAACCGCGGAACGTCCGCGGGAGGTCGGACTGACGGTCGTCGATAGTCGTCGTCCGAGGTCGGGCAGTTGACAGGCGGTCGTCCGCGGTCGTTCTGGCGGTCGGCGAACGGTCTTCGGTGGTCGTCGGACGGTCATGGGCGACAACGCGGATTGGCCCAGTGGCAACACTGAGCGGTTCCAGTGCGGGTCGTCGGACAGTCGGCGGGAGGGTCGCAGGGAGACACGGCGCATGGACTAGCTGCAGCGCGGGCTTGGTTGCCCGTGTGGCTCTGGTTGCCCACGTGGCTGATGTCCCTGGGAGCCCGCGGACGCTCGCACGGAGACTGGTTGGTGCGCTGGCTTGGTGGCAACAGCGCTGAGCGGCTTTTCAAAGCGGTCGTCGAACCCTCGGCTTGAGGGTCGCAGTGAACCGCGGCGGGTGGCCCGGCTACAGCGAGGGCCCGGTGCCCCCCCTGGCCGGCACCAGTGTTAGGCGGCGGAGTCTCAGGGAAAGGGCCGCGATGAAACACCAGAGGGGGGCTAGGCACATTTTTGCACTGGTGGCCGTGGTCAGCTCCAGCGGCAGTCGGCGGAGGCACGTCTGTAGGGCCATGGTGATCTTGCACGCGGAAGCCAGCCTCCAGTTTCGGCCTGGTGGTCTCCCTGCTCGGAGGGCGGTGGGGCGTCGGCATGGAAGACGGCACGAAGGTCGCGTAGGGCTCCAGGAGTGTGGCCACGGTGATCATGGAGGGCGCATGAGGGTCACAGTGGCCGGCGGGGGGTCGTAGGAGTTCGGCGCGAAGAGCACGGAGATCATCTCCATCGCGGGCGCCGCTAGGATCGACGCATGATGCGTGGACGTCATGCGCTGGAAGGGCTTCGTGTAGATCAACCAGACGATCGGCAGGAGATCGTGCGCAGAAGGGCCAGGAAATGTTTGGTCGCCAAGGGCTGGACCTCGAAGAAGGTAGGTTTTGTGACTGGCGAGTTGGCAACGCAGCGCATGACGTGGTGGCCGGTGTAAGAGGCGCGAAGCACGGCGCGAGGCAGCTGCCGTCCTCCGGAGTCGAGCACGTGGGGACATTGAGAAGTAGCAGGCCACGCGGTGGTCACCGCCCCGAACGAGCTCCGAAGGGCGGCGCAGGACAGAGCGGCGCGATGTGGAAGGGCGGTGGTTCGGGGGTGGACAGACCACCTACCCTGACACGTCGATTGAGGACTTGGCCGTTTTCGGTTCGCGAGAGGGCATCGCGGCCGTCATTTTCGCGGGTCCGGGTCCGTCGGTTTTGGTCCCAGGCCGTTTTCACTAAGGGGAGGTCCACTAAAGGGGAGGTTTGTGCACCGCCGAGTGGTGCAGAGTCGCGACGCCCCGGGGCGGGGCGTATACGGCCTGCCCGTGCAAATTGTTTGAAGGTCCGCCGCTGGGGGGCCCTGCGCCTGTGGCCGCGCTGTGTCCTCGAGGGCCTCGGGTCAAGGCTGGAGACGAGAGGAGGAGGACGGAGGACGGAGGACGGAAGAGGGAGGAGGACGGAAGAGGGAGGAGGACGGAGGAGGAGGATGAGGAGGGGAAGAAGGGGGAGAAGGAACAGGAGGAGGAGGAGGAGGAGGCAGAGCAGGAGGAGCAGGAGGACAGGATGTGTATGGAACCCGTGTAATACCCTCATATATACTCCTTATCCTTACCTCTCCCGCACCTGGCCGTTTGGGCTCAGGTACTGAGTTGGAGCGATCGTACCTTGATCGCTTGGGAGGGAAAGATATCCATCTATCCCTCCATCTCTCTACCAACGGATCAGGGGTTCTGTACTCTTG